TACTCATTTGAGAGAGACTGTCAGAGCAGGAGCAGGAGGGAGAGTCAGAGGGAGAGAAAGAAGCAGATTCCCCCTTGAGTGGGGAACCTGATCTAGGGCTTGATCCCAAGACCCCACAATCATGACCTGAGCCAAAGGCAGACGATTAAAACTAAGCCACCCCGACACCTTGTACTTAATAATTCTTTTTGGAGGATTTTATGTGCTACAGCAGGAAGGACCATACTTTTATGTACAGAAATGAACATACTGAATTTCACAGTATGAAATTAAATTATAATTAAATTGTTTAAGAAAGTAGGTGTGCTTTTTGCAGTAGGTTCAAGTCCATATACATTAGGTCCATGATTAGGAGAAACCACAAAATTGAGGTGAAAGTGAGTGCCATGTTTGTACTATATTCTGTTAAATGCCCAAATAATTTGCTGGTCTTGATTTAATCTTTTTAAAAACTGGGGCAATATTACAATTGAACTTACACATCTATCTAAAGGGAACATTGAAGTTTAGGATCAGTAACTTCTTTGATAGAAAAATAGTTTTGTTTCCATTTAAAAAGCACAACAGCAAAATACGGTAGTTGACGCTGACAGAAGTACTGCTCTGGAACATGACAGCAGATGAGTTAAATGAAATGAGATTCCAGGCACAACTCAGGAGACATGGGGTTGGTTAATAATGACATTCAGAACAAAAGCTGAGGCAGACAATTGGTGTGAATAGTTAGGGAAACCATGAATGCAACATTCCAGACAACTGGAAGAAGTAGGTCAGGCAGGATTCATGGATTTGGAGCCAGGGGTAATTCAGCACTTCGGACAGTTCCCAAAGACCCTGCTTCCTTTCAGGCACTTAAGAGTGCTTACCCTTTAGATTACCAGATCAACCCTCTTAATTCTACCTCTTGGTGTCTGGCTTATACCTGCATGTGATCTTAATCCTAAAGGAATTATCTAAATTTAACTAAAGAGCTCTGGGTCAGAGTTTCACACGAAGCCTACACCTTCAGTCGGGACATAAAGGTTCAGGGTATTTTTTGTTACTTGATTTTATGTCAGGCTTACCGCTGGGCTTGTTCTATTAACTTAATTTTAAACTTAACTCAATATGAAAGGTAAAGATGAGATCATCCAAGTCATAAAAAAGAGGCTATTTACCAACACCTGATAATCCATCAAAACCAAGTCCTTTGGACCATTTGCATGCAAGGGCATTCAGCAGCTGCTGTATAGCAAACTGAAATGAGATGCTCAGACTGAATGAAGAGTTGGTGCTGCAGAGAAAAGACTTTAAGAATCTTCTAAAACTCTGCCTAGGATCATGTGGCATAACTGTTGATAGTAACTCAAACACACTTAGGCCTTCCTTGCAGCCTTAGGTAAGTAAAAGAATTGCTTTTTTTGAGCAAAATATTTGAGTAAATTGCTAAGAGGCAGATCTGCAATTCAAGCCAGTCCATCTTGCTTCTAGTCAAAGGACAAATTCCATTTTAGCTACATCTATTCACAAAAATTAAAATTAGAATTATTGACAGACAAAAACACATACATAAGAGAAATACGTTAAAAGAATATATTCTTCCTCAACACTGCTTTTCAGGTAGATGTTTCCTGTTCTGAAACTGAATAGTGGGGGGAAAGACTGTAAGACTGGTTTCTTCAATGATGGGCATCTTAACTAGACATTTTATAGAGGGCTTCCTTGGTCTTTGTTAATAAAACAAACAAACAAACAAACAAATGGGTTCCCAGTTCCTGACAAGAAATGCATAAGTTGCTAAGTATTCATGAGAAAGAAGAATCAGAGGCTGTCTCCCTACCTCCAATTGCATTAACAGTCTTGATGTTCTGGTTTGTAGGTTGGCATCAATCCAAAGGACCCAACATAGTTAATAGGTCTATAACCTTAACACTGAGAGTAACCTAATTTCTTATTTTCTTTAGCGGACTCACAAATATCAAGATGATTTTTTTGGGATCTCTGGGTGGCGCAGCGGTTTGGCGCCTGCCTTTGGCCCAGGGCGCAATCCTGGAGACCCGGGATCGAATCCCACGTCAGGTTCCCGGTGCATGGAGCCTGCTTCTCCCTCTGCCTATGTCTCTGCCTCCCTCTCTCTCTCTGTATGACTATCATAAATAAATAAATTTAAAAAAATATTTTAAAAAAAGATAATTTTTTTAGTCTGGTTAAGGACTGAGAAGGTATGCAAATATTCTAGCTAGGAGGAAGGACAAGGGGAATGGGCCAAACACTGAAGGAGGAATATAACACAGAAAAACTGGGACCTTACCAAAATCTTATGAGAGATTGATATTATGAAAGTTTGACAAGTATAAAAGCTCTCAGGTCTTTCTTTGCCTAGGTGAATAGCACATGACCCTTATTCTATATATTCTGAAAACATTAACAGCAGAAAAGGCATTCCTCAGGTTTCCTTGACAAATAACACACTAATGGTAACCCTGAGCCTAGAGCTTATGATCAATCCTGAAGGAATGATAGTGATTTTCATTAAAATGTCAATTCTACTAGTTCCTCAACTGTAATTGTAGAAAAATCCGAAGTCCCTAAGATTTGAGAATGCTCCCTAGTTGTCTGCATAGATGGTTGTGTGACCTGAAAAAGGTCTTATTCATCCAAGTATAGCATGTGTATATGCAAACAATGGTATTGATTCCTCAAAGCCATATATATATATATAAATCAGCCTTATTAGTCAGTGATTAGTTAGTTCTATGTACGTGGAGGCAATTAACTAGCTGGCACCAAATTTTAGCAAACTAAACTCTCATCACTGAAGAGATGTCTAAAGAAGATTCAGGACAACCCACCCGGGCTCATAAAACTTGGCTATATTTGTATGGTTTCAAGATAGTTTCCTCAAAATTTAACTGTAACCCAAAATTTAAGTAAGACCTTATTTTAAAATTTTGCTATTAAATTTCACATCTAGTTTATCATGAGAATATTGGAGATTTAACAAGATAATTTGGTTTAATTTTTTCACCTTCTATACAGTTAACACAGTCTTTATTTTTAAAAACAAAAGGAAAAGGTCATATTGTTAGTCATACTACTCTTGGAATGCTCCTGTATATTAAGCCACTGTTTCTTTGTTATATAAATATAATATTTAAATAAGGTAATTAAATACAATGCATTATTATTGGCAGACATGCAAACTAATGAATGCCACTAAATAATGTCACAAATACTACAAGAAAATATAATACAAAATTTATTGTGTATTTACTCTGACTTCTTTGACATAAGTATTTTCTATGATTTATACAGACATTTATTTATCATATCATGTAAGGCAGCTTATATGACCAACACGGCTTTTATATTTAAAATATTTTCTTTTTTTAGATTGATTTATTTATTTTAGAAAGAGCAGGAGAGCTCATGAGTGGGGGGAGGAGGAGGGCAAAGAGAATCCCAGGTACACTCCCCACTGAGCATGGAGCCCCATGTTAGGTCTGATTTCAAAACCCTGAGATCATGACCTGAGCTTAAATCAACTGTAAGTCGCTTAACCAACTGAGTCACACAGGCACCCCTGTATTTAAAATATTTTAAATCATCCTCCACTATTACTCATTTTTGACAATATGAACAAGAAACAACACTTGTGTAAAATCATTTTCCTTTCCCAAGCTTTTTTGCCTAACCTCCTATATAACCTCCTATAAACCTCCTCCAACTAACTGTCTTAGCCATAAAACATGGCGTATTTCTTAGCCTAAATTGCCAGAGGAATGCAAAATAAAAGAAGAGATTTTAATACTTCTGAGAACTCAAAAATATTAAGTTCTTAAATAACTATAGTCCATTAGGCATCCACAAGTAAATGAAAGAGGAAGAAGAGGGTCAAACTGCTAACAAAACCAACTTATTTGCTGATAGTAGACCTGAGCTATTTTATAAACTAAGCAGCAATGTATATATTATTAGTTTTGTTTTTAATATAAGTCACTATTAATTATAGTACAGTAAAACTAGATTCATCTTTAAAGTTAATAACATATGTATAAATAAAGATCACACATATAATAACTGTGAAATAGGAATAAAAATAATGTTCTCTACCTATTTTAGTCACATTATTTTAAAATTTCATTATGCATACGCAGATACATAATTTCATTAGACATAAATTGCATGCATGTAGATAACACTTATATGTATAAATGTGATCATATCAACATCTTAGTTATCAGCATTTTTCAATGCTACCATTCCTCTTTTACAGCTAATTCTACTGAGGTTCAAGGATACTAACTGGGTTATTTAGTATTTATACAGTGGGTAAGTAATAAAGCCAGATTTGGAGCTGAGACAGATTCTGGCTCATGTTACAGTGTTCTTTCCACTGAAACATACTTCCCACATTCAAGCTTCTAGTGTCATTTGCTGTTCCTGTTTGTCTTGGGTACACAAGGAGACTTGCTATTGTAGTAGACCTTTGAAGAGCATGCCCAGATCATATTTTCCTACTTCATCATTTTGCATGGGAAGCAAGTAAAGGCCAGTGAGGTGAAGAAACTGAAGAAAACCATACAGAGATAATGAGAGGACTGGAACTCAAGTCCTGTCCTCTTTGAGATGCTCCCCAGAGATGAAGATAAATTATTTGGAAGATCACAGCTTAGCCTCAGGACACCATCCTAAGCATGCTACAGTGGATATTCAGTGGATCTATACATATCTCTTGGCATCTGAAGAGTAGAATTAATCCAGAAGTACCTTTATTTATCTATCATCTATCTATCTATCTATCTATCTATCTATCTATCTATCTATCTATCTATCTATCTATCATCTATCTTCTATCATCTATCATCTATCTATTTATTAGCAAATATGTTTCTGACAGGACCTAAACTCTCAAAGTAAAAACAGTAGCATATTGGTAATCTGGTGTCCTGATGCATCTCAATCAAAGGAGAAAAACGTGATGCAACAAGGAATACATTTAGCAGTGCAGCTGTGCTTACCTTCATAAGTCCCACTTTCTAGGAGAGCACCACTTTTCTCCAATTCCATAAAATCTTCAACGGTGATGAAAATATAGTCCACTCCAGGGACCTCACCCTCCTTATGTGGCCTTGTGGTGCCTGAATAAGGACAATTTAAAAACAAAAGAAAGCCTCTAAGTGATCTGTTGTTGAACTTTAGAAATACCACCATACTTCTGAATATTCAATAACACTTGTTTGTACATCCTGCGAGTTGGCAGTTTGCATTTGTCCTTCTGTTTGGAAACAGAAAATAGCAGGGGGTAAAGATTAAAGTAAATATACAAAGCATTTTTCTTCATCAAGTTTATAAAGAGTTCATTGCCACGGAATGTGGTTGCACAGATTTTTTTTTTTCCAGTGAAAAATACAGACCATTGTGCCTTTCTGGAAGGGGCGTTTTGAAAATTGGGCCAGGAGTCTGCTAGCTCAGGAATTTACATATCTCACTTCTATGAATGAACTTTCATTGTTCTGTAGATTGCCTTGCTATGACATAAAATACAAAGGAAAATAGAAATGTTAGCAGCATGTCAATTTATCTTTATATTTTCATGGTTTGCTCCTTTGTGAGGGTACTTTTGGTTGTCATTTGCACCGAAAAATAACTTGTATTTGATTTAAAGAAACACAAAATCTTTATTATTACTTAAAATTAATTAAATAACTGAAATTGATTATTATAACTTAGTATTATAACGCTAGTAATAGTCCTTCCTTCCTGCTTGCCTGCCTGCCTTCCTTCTTTCCTTTATTATCACCGCTAGTTCTGACTGAACTGGGAAGTGACCTGTTCCTAGGGGTTACTTCATGGGTCCACCACTCCTGTTTCCTATAGAGTGAATGGGGCTTCTGTGGCCAAGGTGACAGAAAAATCAACCCGTGACTCAGTGCGACCATCCTGGAGAACTCAAGCTTTCAGACCTCCTGTCCAGTTCATGAGGCAGGAACCAAAGTAGAGACATGTTAAAGGCTATAGGTTGGTTTTCTGGTGCATTTCCTTCCCTGAATATGTCTTACGTTCTTTTCTTTTTCCAAGCCACCTAAATAAAATGTTTTGTATGATCAGGTTGGAATTTCCATAATGCACATATGCAAATAGTTTACAGAAATATACAGAGGTCAAATATGTAAGCAAGTATTAGGCTTCTTCATTTTTAAAATTTCCTCCATATTCTCTGTATACTAAAGAAATATTTTAAACCTTAAAATTTAATTTTCCGTCTATGAAATCTTTATCAACTAGGCCAGGAAAATAGCCAGTCAGTTCTCCTTTTGGCCTATTAGGATCAAATCTGAACTGCAAATGAAAGGCATAAACTCATGTCATAACATACAATGTGCTAGGGAAATTGATTTCTGATAAAAATGAATAATTTCCATTGAAAACATTTTTTGAAAAGATTTGAAGGCATTATTTCCTAAAATTAAATTTTATAACCTTTCTTTGGAGGTTGCAAGACACTTTTTTTTCCATAATCGCATTTAATGACTTTCTCCTAAATTTGTTATTTCATTTTCTTTAACTGAGCCACATTTTGCAATATTTCCTACTGCTTTTATGCTATAAAATATAAACCTCCCACACCTAGTATGCATAATGTTGTCAAATTAATGTTTCTATGAGAATCTTAACTTTCAATATCCTGACTTTTATATGCTTAACCCTTGTGAATTAAAAGCACATTAACATAGTTTTTGGCAATCAATTTGTTTTTCTGTTTATTTAGAACACACTCTAATCATTAAGAAAAATCACATAACAAAGATTCAATTTTCCTTCCTAATTTATCTGCATATTTCAGAAACTACACACTTTGATTGATTAACTGCTTGCAGCACTGTAGTGCATTCCTAGCACAATGTGAGCACAGGACCACAGGCTTGAAGGCAATTTCCAGGTCTGCTTCTTGCCTGGAGTTGATTGCCGTGTCAAACTCGAGTGAATATGTTTGCTGTTGTGATCTTTTAGGGAGGACCATCAGTACCCTGGTCCACTGGGTACATTTTCCATCTCTACATTGCACTTAAGGACAATGTGACTGAGCTCCTGCCTTGAAGATACAGACTCCCAATGGCTACATTAGTGTCACCTGTTGCTACAGACCTGCTTGATGATGACTATTTCGACTGGGGATTCGCCTACTTCAATATGGCTTGAAGAAGTTCTACAGTATAGTCCCAAATGCTGCAATTCCCATCTCTGACATCCATCTCACATCCTGTTTTCTCATTCTCTTGTTCTTTGTAATTATAACCCCCAGTCTCTTGATCTCTTCTAATTTTCCTGGTGGTTTCCCAAATATGGCTTCATTTCCTTCTCTAAATTCTGAAGAGCTGGAAACAACCTAGAATCCTATCCTTCCTTTGAATCACCTTCACCATTTCCCAACTCTTTAGCTCCCAAGTTCACTAATCATAGATTATTCAGAAAACCACAAACATGCACTAACTACAAATGCAGGTTATATATGTAGTTTGACAATCTTTTTATACATCTTCCCTCTGTCACAATCCCACCATTTTCTAATATTCAACTGCTTTGACTTTCAGCAGAAGACATTAGCTCATTCTCTTTTTGGTGAAGTAAGAGACTAATCTGAAGCCAAAGTCCCTGAAATTTCTTAATTTGTACTTTCCTTTTCTGCATTATCTTGACCCTTAACTGGAATCATCCATCCGTCTAGCTAAGATGAATCCCTTCTTTCCTGCCTTCCTGCAGTTTTTTTTTTAAATTAGAGTTACATATACAGATATTTTGAAGATTCTACTATTCTACAGAGTTTAGTGTTTAAATAAAAGCAGACTGTCATCACCACTCCCCATGCACTTTTATTCAAAGGCAAAGACTTTCAACTCTTTTAAGTGATTCTTTTACTTTACTTGTATGCATTTAATAATTTATTTATGATGTCTTTTGTTTTTTTTTCTTTTTTAATTTACTTTAGCTATTATTTCCTGATTTCTCAGTAAAGCAAATGAAGATTTAGCTCTTTTTTGGCCACACTTCCACACATCCCTTCTTCCTTCTTACCTCTTCTCTTTCTCTCAGTAGAGCAAATATGTGTTGAGATTACTATTTAATATTTACAAAGATAATACCACATAAATCTATTTGCAGCTGAACCTTGTAGTGCACTAATTTTCCTTTCTTGCATAGCTTTTGTTTACTCCAGATTTAATGTTTCCATTTTCAACTTTTCATATATTAATAGATATTTCAATTAATTAACCCCCTTCTTGTTGGATAAATTGAGTTGCAACATATACAAATATATTTGATATTTCATCAGGTTTATCCTATTTATGAAATCACTCCTAGAGCCTCTAACCTGCTCCAATCCAGACTATGTTGTTCTACGACACAGCTACCATCCTGGGATCATCTTTTGCCATCATCATGAGGATTCTCTTTGCCTCTTCTATGTTGTACTGCTTTCTCCCAAGTCCTATGTCTCTTTTTGTGGTCTATTTCCTCATTTTGGTGGAGCACATCTGTCAGAAGCTTTCTATCAAAGGTTGCACAGGAGCTATATTTTTTGAGACTTTGCATGTCTGAAAAAGTCTTTATTCCATCTTCATGGCTGGCAAATCTGATTCAGCATTTCAGAAAAATATAATAAATACATGTTTTCTCCACTCTGTTCCTCTGTTAATGTCAGCACCACCATCCTTCTAGGCATGCATGCTTTGAACCTTTCCTTCAGAGATACAGTTAGGGTGTCTGTCCCTCACTCTTTTATTCCTTCTCCAAATATTTGACACATCCTGTGCTCTGGATCTTCACAATGTCATCCTTCTCTTCTGCACTATCTCTGCTCCCAAACTGCTCTGGACCAGGGACTGGCTATGTCACTGGTGCATCTGTCTCTTAGTACATCACTACATTCCTTGATTAGCTCTGGGAAAGCACGAGGTTGATCACATACCCTCCAAAAGGCATACCTATCTGATCTCTAGTCAACAAATTTGGTTGAAAACATAAGGAGAGGAAAATACTGAGAGTTTAAATAGTTAGAAAAAAAACCCTTAGATTCTACTATTAACAATAAAAGGCAATTCCAATGGCAAGCCAGGTTGTAGATTCTTGGATGGACTTGCTTGATGAAACAGGTAAGAGGATAGAATTTAAGAATTTTCCTCTTAAGAAATGTCTTCCTTTTAGGGACTCCTGGGTGGCTCAGTGGTTGAGCCTTTGGCCCAGGGCGTGATCCTGGAATCCCAGGATTGAGTCCCACATCGGGCTTCTGCACGGAGCCTGCTTCTCCCTCTGCCTGTATCTCTGCCTCTCTCTCTCTGCGTGTCTCTCATGAATAAACAAATAAATAATCTTTAAAAAAAAAGAAATGTCTTCCTTTTGGACTTGTCATGACCACTTCTTCTTTCTGTGAAGCCTAAAATTTTCACCATTAGAATTACTCTTTGGTTTAGACAAAACAGAAACTACCTTTAAAACATAAGCTGTAGTAGATAAGAATGTGAGCCATGGAATAAAACTGCCTGGGCTTGTTGGAGCTCTGCCATTTGCTATCCATATTACCTTGAGCTAGGTATTTCCCCTTAGAAACTCTAGTCTTAAAAAAAAAAAAAAAAGAAAAGAAACTCTAGTCTTCTTATTTATAAAACAGGATTAATATCAGCACTTTTAAAGCGTTGATTTGAAGAACAAATGAGGTAATCTATATAAGGTACTTAAGACAATGTCTGGAACACGTTAAGCACTCAAAAGGATTATATATATATTAAGTATTATTGTCTGGAAAGGCAGGGATGACATCATGGATAGTTCCCCCCCTCCCCTATGAATTCTTGCCACAAATATTAATTGAGTACTTACTATGTACCATGGACTATTCAAGATATTGAGGATATATCTTTTAATAATAGGTTCCTTTCCTTTGTGAAACTTATATTCTAACAAAGAGAGACAGAGAATAAATAACAACAAAAAGCATAATTAAAAAAGTAAGTTATATAGTATGCTGTAAAGAATTAAGTTCTATTAAATGACCATAAATCTAATAATTTTCATCTGTGGATTGTTTAGTGGGTCGATTACTGAGATTTTTAACTGTTAGTTTATACAAAGTGAGCAAAAG